TCTAGTACCCTCATCCTGCACCTATATAGACTTCTTTATGCATTTCACAAAAATAGTTTAACCAAGTAAATCAATTTATTTAGCTGGTTTAGCAACACAAAAATTATCAATTTAGAATTTTAAATTGGATGGATGTACTTGGTTCAGTGATATAAGTTCCTTGATATAAAGGCTAGAAGACACTGACAGGATATCTTGGATCTGTGCAACCAGTGATTTTCAAACTGTTTCTCTGCTTGGAAAGATGGGCAACCAAACTGAAAATCTGTTTGACTAAATAAGATGTTAGAAAGGCAATAAACTACATCTTAACTTTGTTCCACAATGTAGGCTAGTAGTCTGTGACATTTTTTGTAAAAAATTTTGATAATGATCTTTTGAACTTTGATCAATGCTCAATATCACTTTGGAGTTAAACCAAGTTTTCATCTATCATTCCTGTTTCCTCATTGTTATCTAGGAATGGATTGATCACCCTGTCTGGTATTTTAAGAAAAGAAAAAATCCTAAAATGTCATATCTATGCTGCTCATCCAAGTGCATATAATATACTTGAAGTTCATAATGTGATATGTTCTCAAATTAGGAAAGGCCAAGAAAATATTATGTTTGAATAACTAAGTTGAAAAGAAACCAGGTGAGGATTGATTTGATTTGGATATGGTTAACCGCATTTCCTTGCAGTTGCAAACTAACTTCAATGGACATTATGAATAAACCTGACAAGTAAGCAATGTTATGCTTGATTGTTCATCACAGAGAACAGAATTGAAATCTTGGAAGAATTTAATACCTGTGCTAAAAAAGAAAGAAAGAAAGAAATAGAAATAGCTCAGGAAGTATTCTTTCAGTAGCCATCTAACTTGCTTACAACAAAATGTCCAAAATCTTCATCATTCTCAATACGGTGCTGTTGAAAAGATCGGAAGTTATGCCCTTGATTTTATTTACTGCTGTGACACCAGTGCTCAGTGATCGGCGAAGTTGACTAATTTTTTCTGCATCCAGATGTTGCATGTAGATTACACCTGATATGAAGTTTTTTTTTTGTTTTTTTTTTTTGAAACTGATAAAGTAATGATAATGATGATCTAGTATTGATCATGCACCCACCTGTTTCACAAGTGCAAGAAAATTGGTTAGGATAATGTCTTTCTCTTTAGAAACTTCTCAACAAAGTAAAATAATTCCCTATTTGTACCAATTTCTAGTTATCTTGCAAATAACAGTTCTTGAATGAAACTTTAACCTTTCATAAACAAGTATCAAAGATTCATTTCCTGGCAACATTAAATCAATTCTAAACTAAATTCTGTTGCCGTTAGCATAATGCACAGTGCACCTTGAAAATTTTTCTGCCATTTCATCCACTCTTCTTTGGACTTTAATAATTTGTTTAAACTGTATGAAGTACCTCCATTAACATTGGAAAAAAATAATCTCTTCTCCAATTATATGAGGCTTAACAGATTTAGCAATGAAATGTTGAAGGGTGCATGCAAACAGTCTCTGGAAGGTAGGAACTCCTTGCAAAAATATTTCCAATGGTTTTCTGAAAATTTTCTCAAAATGACTGGACTGAAAATATACCAAGTTTTTGTCTGCTTTAACAGCGTACTTTTCAAATTTTCAAGAAATCTTAAAAGATTTCATTAGATAGATGTTACTATATGAACAACTATGGCTGTAACATCAGCAAGTCAATGTTTGGATTTTGGACAACAAAATAAGTTTGTGCATAACTTATGTTCATTTTATTCTTTGTAATGCAAATGTTTTTGTTGAGTGGAAATGACTTAGATTTTGTCATAGATCTTTCAAAAAATAAATTAAAAATTACTTTGTACTAATGCTACCCTGTTACCCACTAGCACCACTTTTTCTTATTTAAACAAGCACAGCTGCCTTCGAAATAGTTCAACATCTCAGTCAATATAATGTTATTTCATTTTAGACTTCTATGTGCCATGTCCCTTCAGGACAAAGGCAATCATGACTCCACAATTTCATGTGTTTTGTAGCTTTTAGTAAATCTTGTCTTTTTGTTATCTCTACTAAACTGTTCTACCAACCATTTACAAAAGCATGTTAGGTAGGTTACATGATGTTTTCTTCTGTCCCTCTTGCCTTCATTGTCCTGTGAGTATCAAATTTTCTAAGCCCTAATTCCTCATTATAATTTTAATAAATTTTAACTCTTTCTGATGTTAAATGTATCCTTTATGTTTCCATTTTCTTTAAAGCCTCAGTCCATGGTATTTTCAGCATCCTTCTGTAGGACCAGATTTCTGTTGCTTCAAGTTTCTTCATCTGTCAAGCATTCATTGCCAAGACTGTTATTACATAACAGTTCAGTAGTCTTTTCTTTGTTTAAAAGGAAATTTTCCTATTTCTTAAATAGTTTGCTTAGCTTTTGAAAGGCATCTTTTGCCATCCCAATGCACCTTCAGATTTTGGTATCACTTTTTCTGTCTTCTGTTAAAACGCTTAATATTTAAGTTTTTGTACTTGTAATTCACATGTTGGGCTGTACCTTTTGCTAACAACCATACATTTGGTTTTCTTACAATCAATTTAGACTACTTAATATATAGTCATGAGCGAAGTCTTAAGATGTTGACTGTACTGTTTTCTGTTTCATCTGTTTCAGACAGACATACAACCTGGCATTGGATAAAATCTGATAACAGATCTGCTGTGCAATTGACTGTTCAATTAGAATGAAGTCTACAATAAGTTTAATTTCTTTTTTATTTCTTTGTGTCCAAAAATTGTTAAATTACCACTTGATACTCTACAATTTAACATTTTAAAATTGGAAGTGGGAAATAATTCTATCTTAAACTTATATGAAGATATCCACTTGAGAACAATACAGCAATGTTACTTTCTCTTTTTACTGGCATACTCCTGTTACAACCCATGATTTCACATATTTTATCCAATCAATATCATTAACTAAAATTACAAGAGTAATTTAATAAAGTTTTAAAAGCATTAAAATTAAGTAAACTTTATTTAAAAATCATAATTATGAAATTGATTATATATACTTTATATTTAAAAATATGTCTTAATTAAAGCTTTAGTATCACTATGTTAAGAAATGTTTTTTTTCTGTTTAGAAAGTAGGAACTAAGATGAAATGAAAACCTATGAAGTATGATAGAACAAGAGTCAAGATCAAGAGGTGAACATTTTCCTGTAGAGAGGCAACAGTATGCCAGTGACACTAAATCTAAACCAAGATGTTAAATATTTCCATAAAAATATTGATTACAAATTTCTGGATATCTGAATAATTTCTGAATATCCTCTTAATATATTCAGAAATATAAATGCTGAAATTATCAAAACAATCCATTAGAAAAATGCACAAGCCATATAAAGCAAATTGAAAAAAAATAAACAAAAGAAAAAATGTATAGTGTCAAGCAATGAATAAAAACAAATGCATCAATTTTTGTAGATCATTTTCTATTAATTCTTTAAAATAGATAAAAATGTTCAATATATATGTCTACCTCTAGCAGCAAATTTTCATAGTTTTAACAAAAAAAAAACTTTTACAATATGCTGAGAACAATCATTTAAACTTTAAAAGATTTCAGAGGATTCTTTTCAGCACATACCATATACATTAAAACATGGCATGGAAATCAAAATTATCAAATGTTTGAGCTTTTTGTCTAATAATAGAGATGAGGAAGAAGAGGTTCAACTAAAATCTGCAAAAACAATGCTTGAATGTCTTAAGAAAGCTGTAACTTGCTTATAGTAAGTAGCTAACAGTCAGAAAACATGCCAAATCGAAAGTAGAACTTGCAATGTATCGAAGCATTGAACACAATATCATTACTGAATTAGTGCAATAGAGTGCAGTGTTTGAAAATATCATTTGATAATCATAATTATTCTGTTACTCCAAGTGCAATCAAAGGAAACTGCAGATCACATATCATGATAAATAGAACAACAACACAGTGATAATCAAAAGAATAATGACAGCCGCAATTATAGGATAAGCACAAAATAAATACAAAGACAAAACAATGACTATTTATGTCAAGTGAAGAAAATGTACAAGGAAACAATACAAATTACCAATTCAAGTAAATACCAATTCACAATTATAAAGAAATAAATTTTTCTTTTTAGCTAAAAACTTAAGTGAGTCCTATAAAAGGACTTCTTATATTTCATATTCTTGAATTATCTAGTTGATTGAAGTAAGTACTTTCAGATTTTTTATCTAGAACAGTCATTTCTGTGTCATCTTTGAACAATTTTAATAATTCATTTTACTAGTCAGCTGCTAAGAAAGTCAGTTCATTATGTCAGGCAAGACAATTTTTCTCCCCAGAATCTGCCTTACATATCTATATGCATACCATTCATCCAGACATAGAATATTACTGCTACATATGATCTGGTGCCCCTGCTATTTACCTTGAGTTCCTTAATAAGATCCAAAGAATCTGCAATATTATTGGTTCTGATCTTGCAGCTCAGCTCCAGTCACTTTTCCACCATTGTAAGGTTACTTCTCTTATGCCTTTTCTATAAATACTTTCATGGTAATTGTCAAATGAACTCTACGCTATGGTATCTAGATTTTTTTAAATTAAGCGCAACACTAGACTTGCATTGAGACCTCATCAATTTATAGTTGAGCTAGCTAGATATAGCTATAAATTCTATGCTAACAGTTTCTCTCGTACTTCTCACTTGTGGAACTCCCTTCTGGTTCCATGCTTTCTAGCCAATTTTAATCTGCAAAAATTTAAATGTAATGTCAATCACTATCTACTGTCTACCTGATTACTCTCTTCTCTTTCTATTCCTAATTCTTCCATACCCTGTAACCCCTTGTGTTTTAGTGGTATTACTGCCTTGCTTGGGACGATTCCAATATATAAAAAAAAAAAAAATAAAAGTGTGTGCGTGCGCGCGTGTGTATGTGTGTGTGTTTTGTGTAAAATAAAATGAAGTAAACTTACTTGTAGCAGTTCCTGATTCCCGGACATCAATAGCATCTGTCACCTGGCTCTTTTCTGTAGTTTGTGTTTTGCATTCCACCTCAATACTCTTACTTGCACTTTTACGAGTTGACATTTTCTCTGGGGATTCAGCATCGCTGAGTTCACTTTTGAGACTGGTATTAGAGGATTGTGCTCTGGCTGGTGATAATACATCGAAACCAACTGGACTGTTTTCCCCCTTTACTGGAGTGTCCCCTGCTCCGCCATAGATACTAACATTGACAGGCCTCAAATTTGGTAACTGGAATCCACTTCTGATTTTGGGGGGTGGGGTGAGAGAGAGAAAAAAAAATTTGATGAAGTAATTAGTTTTTTGGGTTTAAGGATATACTAAATTTTAAATTTTTTTGCTGATAATTTTATAGTAATTATGAGAATTTTGAAGCACCGAAGAAAAAAAAAATGCCTTCACTAGTTTTAAGTTTACAATATTTTGAAATTTAAACCTAAAGTTAACAGAAAAAAAATTGTTACCCAAGCAACAAAATTCTTTATCATTTGATATCCAAAAAATTACAGGTTCAAGTTAGAATATTATATAAAATATCAACAAATAAAAGTATTAAATAATATTCATAAAATAAACAAAAATCTAAGAAGAAAGCTACATACTTTACACGAGGGCTATTTGCAAGATCAGCAAGACGATCAGTACCCATTACTATTTTTGCTCGTTCCATATAATCCATGTGAGTGCGGAAGAGCTGGAAGATTTAAATGATATTTTAAGTCATTCAAAATAATTTCAATGGCAAAGAAACAAAAACATTTTCTATACTGTCATATTTTTAATTATTTTTTTCTTAATTCCCAGTTAGGTATATTTATGTTAAATGGACAAAATTATGTACCATTATTAAAATGACATAAGCAAGAAACATGTAAATTTAAAAAGACTATTCTTAATTTAATATATGTAATGGATGAAAGGAATCTGATGAATTAGTTGATCACGACAAAGTTGAGAATACAACTTCAAGGAATTTAACTTTGAACTTCAAACATTGTATCAATAAATATAAAACTTACCTCAGTATATCTGTCATGCAATTTATTATATTCTTTTTTATTTTCTGTTTCTTTATCTTCCAAGCGTGATACTGAAAGGAAAATAAATTTATGAATGCTTTAACCAATTGTCATATCTGTCCAATTTTTTTTAATAGATCAAAACAGTTATAACAGGAAAAGGAATCGGGAGTAGGGGAGAATGGGATATGCTATCTAGGGGATTGAGTCACAATTTTGGTCTAAATAATAATAAACTTCAAACAGTACAAAAATTGAAAGCATGGGAACATTACAAATAGAAAAATAAATAGTGGGTACTATTTTGAGCAGAAGTAGAATGGAGAGCAGCTCTGAAAAATCCAAAGTAAATGGTAAATAGCACAAACAATAATAGCTGTGTCAACATTACCATGAACAGGAATTCACTGGAGAAAGTGTCCAGTTTTAAATACACACAGATTATGGCAGCAATAGCCAAATTGGCAAGAATATGGAGGAGCAAAATTAGCTTTCAGAGTACAGACTGTACAAATGTATGGTAGTCTCCATTCTCCTATATAGATGTGAAATATATACACTGTTGGCTGAAACAGAGAGAAGGATCCAAACATTTGAGAACAAATACATGAATAAAACCCCTTGGCATCTTCTATTGGAAAGATAAAACCAATGAGTTTATGCAAAAAGGGTTGAAAGTTTTGTCAACCACCAAGAAACTCTTCTCATCACTGTCAAACGGAGAAAAATGGTGTGGTTTGGACATGTTACATGACACAACAGCCTATGCAAAACCATATTGCAAGGCACCATCGAAGGTGGACGTAGGACAGAACATCAACGCAATAACTGATTGGACAAAGTCAAACAATAGACAGGTATAACTATGCCAGAATTGCTGATGGCTGCCATTTATTGACTGTTGTTGAGGAGATTCAGTGTGGCTTCTGCATTCAGATCCCCACCTCTACAATTACAAAAGTCAAGGGGATGATGATGATTTTTTAAGTTTACAGAACTCTAGAGAATTGCTACAAAGAGAAATGTACAAAGGGACACTGAAGAATTCTCCAATCAACCAAGAAGACCTTAGAAGGAACAGAAAAAAAAAAATTTTCAGCACCCCCATAAGGAATGCAGGTATAACAAATTCAGTTTTCAATTGAATATTCAACAAAATTTCCACACTTGACTGAAAAAAAAAGGGGGGGGGGTGAAACTTTTTCTAATATAACAATAGCTTTTAATTTCTATATTTGAATTTGATAATTTTAAAAGAAAATATGAAAATTAACACTAAATCATTACAGGAAAATTTGAAACAAAGTTTTAAAAATTCTACAGCTAACTAAAAAAATAAGTTAAAAGATAAATACAGATAAAAAAAAAAAAAAAAAAATTAATGAAGATTTTCTGTGTATTAAGACAAATTGGAAAACAAAAATCCACAGAAAATCCTCAACCTTGGAAGTGTGATATACAGAAAAGACCTATTTCAAAGTTACAATAGCAGACTTGGGAGGAAGCACACAAAAAATAAAATTATATGAAGAGGGTCAGCACATTAAGAAATCTGACAGAGTTGATAGAGATCAATCACTCAGAACAAAGAAATTTAAACTAAATGATTGTCTTGGCAGTTAGTGATTTAATATCATGTGTTCAACCAGTGTCAAATGTCAACTGGTTGAATAGTTAAAAGTGCACTATTTAACTACCCAACCAGTTGACATATGACAACAAACTGAAACCTGAATATATTAGGGAGGGAGGGAGGGAGGGAGGATTGCAGGGGGTGGGAGAGAGAAGGGAGGACAGGAGAGTTATGGAGTATAGGAATTTTCTCTTACATAAAAAAAAAGAAAATATCAATCAGTTATCTCTTTAGGTACACAATAAAAAGGGATTTAATGTGAAATTGACACAGAAAGAAATAATTTGTGCAAAGAAAAAAAAAGGTGTAGAGGCTTGCTTATGTTCATTGTGGAAATTTACAATAGTTAAATCCATCAGAGTGAGTGAAAGGGAAATTCACAAGATGATAATTTTCCATGTTGTTCAGAGCTGATAGGTCAACACTAGATGAAGCATCTATAGCTGGTAGGAAGGTGGGCTGAATGAATATCTTGTGGTTAACTTGTAAAAGTTGGTAGTGTATTGAAGAATTATGGTAACAGAAAGAAAGTTGCATTATATCAAAGGGTAAAATAGGTTTCACATATCCCAAACTGTCTGTATTGAGTTTTTATATGTTGCCTGGAGTCAGTGGTTGGACATGTGGTATCTGGATATTTAATATTTTCTTCAATGTCAATTGAACTGCTGACTCCATTTGTCCTGACTATCCACTTAGAGTAGCGTTGTGAATCAATAGTAATTTAAACCTGGTGGCCATTCCTTTATATTCAAACAGGTAAACTCACCAAGTTCTTTTCAAAGGATTACACGTTTCAAATTCCATTCTTCTGATTGGTTAAAAATGATCAAAAAGCTCTTTACTTGACCCCACCCCTTAGACACAGTTTTGCTATAAAATATAACAAGGCTTATAAAGAAAAAAACAAAAAAACTCATTGGTCGGTGCTCATAGGTAATAGAAAGGGGAAAGGGGTTATATAGTTTTATAGGGGGTTAGGAAGGGAAGAGAGTATTACAAGCAGTCTTTTTTTTAAAATTGCTTTCATATAGTAAATGTTTTAAGAACATTTCAATGAACAGAACTGATTTTTTTTTTTTTTTAATTGTGAACAGATCAAAGCCAAAAATATTTTGTCACTAGAACATTAAGAGATTTATTTCTGATTAAATTACAATAAGACTTACCATGATCTGCTGAGTTCTTTGCTTTTAATTCTAACATTCTGACAATGGATTCTAAACTTTCAACTTTATCTTGAAGTTCTTTCTTCTCTCCTTCAATGGCATCTTCAACTTCAAAGAATTTCTACAAAATAAAATATATACTATTACATTCTGCAGATCAAATATAAAGTCATTTGAATCATTTTTATGTATGTAAGGTCATAATAATTAAAATGCAAATCAAATTGAAAAAAAGATTTGCACTATGGAGAAGTAGAGCAAATGTTTAAATGTGTCAAAAAGGGGTTTTCAAAGTTTAATTGTAGAGAATTGCTAGTAATCAAATCAAAACAGATAACCAACATATTTAAAATATCCCAAATCAAACACTCTTAATCATTTGTACTAGCTTGTTTACATTAATAGCTTTAATGTGTGGCTTTTATAAAATCTACTGGACTGTTTACTATTAAAAGTGTTTTGCAATTTTAAAAAAATTAGTAATGAAAATGGATACTTTACAACAATATGAAAAACAAGAGTAAGTAAAATGAATCACCAGTGACCCACCCATAGGCTGCTAGGATTGGAATAGTCATCTACTAAAAATTGATAAGTTTTTTTCCTAATGCCATGCCTCTTCACAACATAGGTGATCATGGCTTTCCAAAGATTCCTTTCCTTAATTATCTGTGAATTGTCTTGACTTGTAAAAAATATTGGAGTGGCCTCCTGTTACTTTCTACAAATATTGCTTCACATAAGGCCACTCAAAAAAAAAAAAAAATCTTAAGTCTAGAATTAGCTAAAAGATTTATATTCCACCAGGATAGTGCTAGACTGCAGGTTTTTTTGGTGACCAGGAATAAACTGTTATAGTTTGACTGAGAAGTTTTCACTTAATATCTTCTATATTCAGATATCATAGTTTATTTACAGAATTCTTATAAAAAAAGTAATTTGTTTTCTATGGAAGGCTACAAAAGGTATAAAGTGCAGTTCTTTTCTGAAAAAGAAAGCAATAGGTGGTTGGAATTTGTCAAAAGATTTATCAGAGGACCAACACAAACAGTAAGCATATTCAATACAATTAGATATTTAGAATAGAGTTACCACACCAATTGTTTCATAAGCAGTAATTTAATTATTCTCAAAGATTGAGAAAGAAAGAAATAATATTAAAGTATTATTTCAATATATTCTATGAACAAGATAACTGATTACCAAGTCAGAGATGAAATTTTCTTATGTAATAAAAAAGAATGACCAAGTATGAAAACCTGTTAATTGGTTTAACCTTAGTTTAGAATATATGACCGGAGATCAAATCAAGAGTAACATTTAAGAAAATAGCAAAACTCAAGCTTCAAAAGAAATCTAATGTAGAAATGAAAAAGTGTCTACAAATTAATTGCTTTAGTCATTAAGATATTATAAATGTTGGTATATGACAATCTCTTTTGATAAATGAACGGAAGGTTCAAAATCCTGTACAAATTTACTTATTGCAATTATTTTAATTTTAAGCATGTTATTGGGCATTTCATAACTTTAAAAATATAGCACTTTAAAGATATATTTTAAAATACTTTGCAAGCAATTTTCATAAATTTTCACAATTTAAATTAATAATTTTGGTCATTTTTTTATCTTATTTGTTCCTAATACTTATGAATTTGGACTGAAAATAGTCACCATCAAATTTTTTTAGGCATTTTATTTACTAGTAATCAACAAATAGAAACTAAAAATAAAAGTATTCAGAAATTATTTAAATATGCTACTCTCAGAATAAACAGAAAAATAAGGATTGAAATTTACAAAAATAGAAGTAGTATGAAAAATCACAACTTCACTTACAATGAAGAAAATGATTTTAAGACTTATAAAAATGTACATTTTGCTTATCAATATCACAATGCCAACAGTAATTTAATTTGAAAAACCTGGTCTAAATATGGACATTTGAATGAAAGCCAACTATATTTTTTTTTTTTACCAAAATGTCAGAGCAAAAGCATGCTTCCCAGGAAAACATTTGTAGTGTAGCAATAGCAATTTAGTTGTGAATAAAAGAAAAAAAAAAGAAGTTCATTTTGTAACAGAATAAACAAAAACAAACCCTATTCAAAGACTTATTTACACTATTTATATTCAGACTAATGTCCTCATTTCTTTTTTCATTGTTTTTATCACAACATTTCAGTCGTCATGCCCTCCGGCCTTCCTCAGGTGTATATCAACCTGAGTAACTTATAGGGAATTCTTCACTGAAACATTTATTTAATCTCTGAGGTTGGGTGTGGGTACACTGTTCTCATTCCACTACACTCATGCCCAGGGATATTGTTTAGTCTTTATTTATTATTCAGTTAATGCTTGCCCGTTTCCATTTGAGTGCAAGCACACACAACCCAGCCTAGGGATCGAACTTGCAACCACTATACCCAGCCACTATATCACCAAATTCACAAACCAACACTTTTACACATTAGGCTATGGGATAATGGCCTAGTGGATAAAAGAGTTGGTTTGTGAATTTGATGATATAGTGGCTGGGTATAGTGGTTGCAAGTTCAATCCCTAGGCTGGGTAGCGTGTACTTGCTCTCAGTGGAAAGAAATAACAGTCTACCACCAGAGTACATTAAATAAAGGGTTCAGTTCAGAATTTCCTGTGGGTTACCCAGATCGATATACATCTGAAGAAGGCCAGAGTGCACAACAGCTGAAATGTTGTGATAACAAAGATGAGGACAATAGTCCCAATGTAAATAATGTAAATAAGGATAACTTCTCATCCCAGAAATTCAGTCTTGTCATTTTAAAATGTCCAAAAAAGTAAATTTAGCAAGATTAACAATAACTATACAACCACAAAGTAAATGCCAGTCATGTAACGTTCTTATTATGTAAGTACAAAAATATAAATCAGAAGTTTTCTTTTTATATTGATTAGATATTTTTTCCAAGACTATGAGCATCAACAAATGTAAAGTATACCCTATTAGTTGTTATAAGAAAGTGTTTTCACAATATATTATCTTACTTAAAAAACATGACATGCAAAATGTAATAAACCATATGAAATCACCCAAAACATTAAAACCTGGAAAGCTATTCCCTCAAGACAGAAGTTCTTATATATATATATATATATATATAAAAAAAAAAAATTAACCGTAACAGCAAAAAAAAAAAAAAAAAAAAAAAAAAAAAAAAGAAAAAAAAAAAAATCCTCATACCCAAATAAGGGAAATTAATTCTATAAATTATAAACTGTCTAAACCTCATGCTACCCAAGCAAAGAGAAAAAGTCAATGAAATTTAAATTTTTCCAAAATAAAAGATTTGTCTGGACTTAATCAATATAGGCATTATCTGAATTGTTTCTTTTCTAACCTGGTTGGTTATTGGAGCCCAATGGAGCCCCTGAAAATATAATACATAAATAAAACAAAGTTAAAATTTATATATCAATTTTAATTCAAATATTTCATAAATTCTATAAGTCTTTATTAAATGGTAAGAGATGAAAATTGTATATTTGTAGTAAGAACCGTTATTGTTTGATTTTACTCAAAACTAAATTTTAGGAAAAATGTAAATTTTACTTCAAACATCTATATTTATTATATGATCTATATATCAACTGAAAATGGTAAAAAAATAAAATAATTTGGTAAATTCTTAGATTTTGTAACAAAAATTGAAATTTTTTAAAAGAAAAAGCTAAGGATAAAGTTTGATTTTCCAAACACCAATATTTTTGTATAACTAAATTCTAGGTAACATTCTGAGTTCTGGCAGTTTTTGTGATGGTTGATGATTACTGAAAATTTAATAGTAAACAAATTATATTGATTATATTTATAAATGTTTACAATAAGTAAATAAGTTATTCTTTATTATTTATGAACTTCATTTTTGGTGCAAGAATTATCTTTAATAACTTAATCATTATAATAATTTTTCGAATGGTTTCTGGATCAACAGTCACCCAATGATTGTTGCCTGACATTTTAGTGTATGCAATTACTGAGTAGGACTTGCTAGATGTAGCCATACTAAATCAAACACCATGAGTTCATTGTATAAATCTACACTGAAATAATGCTTTCAGGTATTGAGATGAAATCAATAATAAAGTTGGTTATGTTCTCAGACAGACACCAAAGCATTCACTATGTAAAAGACTTCTGACATGCTGTTTAAGTTTCTGCTGTAAGATTTCTAAGTAGAAATAGTAGTATAATAAAGTAGTAGTATAATATGCTAAATTAACCAAATGTTCAGAGAAAGAATAATTTGCTTAGATAAGTCATTAAGATATAGAGCATCAATTTTAACAAAAACAAGCCTTGAAATGAACAATAATCATTGGATTTGGATCTCAGCAGATCACTTATGTCAGAGAAACCTAACCAATCCATAATTGACCAACTGAGCAACAGTGAAAGTTTAAACATACGCACCACACAATCCAGAGTCATTTAGTAACAATTAGTAAAGTAAACTGAGATTAAGTGCTATATTAACTGACAAAGTAACACTGCTAGTTAGACATGTGCTCATGCATAGCCAGACAGTGATTTCATAAAATTAGACTGGGAGTATCTTACATTTAAGGAAAATTTATTTTCTTATAGGAGAATCTTAAGTCACTGATGAAATAAGCACAAATGTTGAAATCCAATATTTGAATTTACATTGTTAGTGTAAATGTGGCCTCTCACACACATAAACACAGTTTGTACAAAGAATAAAAACTTAAATTTGCATAACAAATCAGCAATTCCAGAAAAAAAAAAAAATTTTTTGAGAGGAAAGGTGGAGACAAATGCTTACATAACCAACTTTAGTAACTTCAAATCCAAAGCCCAAATAAATTTGTGTAGAAATCATGACAACGAATATCATTTGCCTGAAAACTGGCTTCACTCAAATCAAATGGTTCACTTCACCAAAAAATCAAGTTAGAAAATTAAAAGGAGATAGCTTTTATATCTAAATTGAGTTTTTTTTCTTTTAAATTATGTAAAAATTAATTTTTTTTTTTAATTTATAATAATAAATACCTTTTTTTCCGTAAATTAATCACTGAATTCTTTATTTATGTAATAATATTGCTTACTTTCATTCT